AACATGTAATGTAAAAAATACCTTGACAGTTAAATGCCATTTCACTTTTCATTACTATACGATACAGTATGTATTATCATTATAGTATTACTATTTCGGCGATTAGATAAAACATAAATTATATGCAACTTTAGTTACATTTCCATGACTTTTCCAAAACTTTGGGGAAAATATTGTTTTCCAGGGCCTGGTATTAGCATTTTGAATTTCCATGACTTTTCCAGGTTTTCAATGACTGTAAGAACCCTGTTAGATAATCACCGTTTTGTTGGATAATATTTTGAATGTTGTGCCCCTACTGGGACATTTAAACAGTCATATCTGATTGGTTAGCTGGCCGGCTCTGTTGTGATAGGACATCTCTAAGCAGTTGACCAATCAGCGCCAGTGTAACATAGTGATGACACTATGGAGGGAACTTTGGGATTTTAGCCTTTGCAGACCATTTACATGCACAAAAACCTCTAAAACAAACTAAAGGAAAGGGAAACCCCTAAAAGCAGCATAGGGCCCCTTTAAGTGGGTTCAATCCCTAGAAAGTGGAGGTTCTGTACAGCTTACTTTAATGCAGCATTGAACATCTCACCTTGGCAAAGAATTTTATCTCTTGTTCATGAGGTGACTTCTCCACTCTACCACTGCTAACCACAGCCTCTGTTCAAAAAACAAACAAGAATGAAGCAAAGTCAGTTCCTAGTCAAAAGGTGCATGATGGAGTTAACATTACGCAATTCAAGTATTGATTTTGAATTACCAAGATGGGCGATGAACTCCTGGGCGATGTCCATCCATTTAAGGAGTTTCTGGAGGAAGCCGTAGGCAAAACGCTTCTCGATGGAGGAAATGTCCTGTTCCATGTCCTTCAGTCCCCTGAGGGTGGAGAGAAGAGGGAGTAAACATGAAATAGAGAGACAGAGAAACATAGATACAACTGGGTCATTCCTGTTATTCACCAACAATCCTGTCCATGATTCACTTTTCTTTCTTTACAATATGCATAATACATCATTTTCCTGTCACTGTCAATCACACATGCCAAAGTGTTGCTGCGAAACAGGAATAATCCAAATATCTTCATGTAAATGTTGAGTACTTCCTGCATACCTTGTCACAGAGTATCCGTTGAGCTGCAGGAACTTGAGCATGTCCTGGGCCTTCTCCCTGTCCCGGGCCTTCTCCTTAGCCGTCAGGGTGTCATAAGGCACGAGCAAAGGATGGGTGCCACTTCCTAAAAGCAATAATCTAGTTACTCAACACACCACAAACTAGCAACCAATGCTTCAAATGAACTTCTCAGCCATCTTACCTTTGGCCTGCAGCTCCAGCTTCTTCTTCCTGCCCCAGGTGTTGTGATAGTTCTCTGCCAGCTGCTCGGCCATAGACTGGACGGAGAGAGGGAGAAAATGAAAATGGTCAGGCTCCTTTCATATGAGATCTACCAGTGCTGTGACAGAGAGATTCGTACCTGCAGCTCTCTGGACAGAGCCATTCCTGCGATGTCTATTGGCTGGGGGTTGTAGCCGTGACTGGGGTCATACGTGGCCTGCAGACAAAAAACACACCATACAGACAGATTATTATCCATGGGAGGTTTAATGACTAGAGGACACCAGAGGGTTCCCGTAAAAAAGCTTGAACTTCTTCCATTTCAGTACATACAATGTTTAAGAAATACCGATATCAAAATGTATTAGTACAAGTAGGTATGATTATTAATTTCCTTGAACTTTTCATAGCCCTGGAGTGAAAACTAAGTGTCACATAATCATATTAGATTCCATTGGATTTAAACAACTTTAAACAATAAATATTGAGTCACTTTTATTTTTCTATTATTATTTATTTTCATTCTTTATTTTCTTTGAATCTTTAAAATACGTTTATCTAAGCAAAGGATAAATAAATATAAGGTCTCATCAGATAAGTTATTTTGTATTTTTGTCATGAATTACTACTTATTGTATTTGTAGTAGAAGTGCGATAATCAATTTGTATGAAATGGTTTGAATTGTCATTTATGGTGATTGTTTTTGTTTCACTACCATTCTTGATCTTGTCAACATCAGTTGTTTTGTTTGTTGTGTTAATGTAACTTAACATATACATGTCTGTTTGACCGCACCACGAATAGCCAGTGCTAATGCTAGTACTAATGGGAATCCTTATAGAGAAATAAGACAGTAATAGATCTCATTTTTTTCTTGTTCTTTTTCGTAATAACCATCCTTTTCTAGACGCCAAAAAGGACACACAGCATCAAACACAAATACCCATCTTTGCCCCCCTCTCTCCTGTACCTGAGCAGTTTGGGAGATCTTGCGCGTGACGGCCTTCTTCTCCACTTCCCCCTCCCCATCCCTGGCTTTATCTAGAGTCCACTCCCAGGCCAACATGGCTTTCATGGATTCCTTGATGGGCCAACGATAAATCTCCTTGTCCTGAGAAACAAAGAGGATTTCATTGAAAATGGAGCATTTAAACAATATATGTTATTGTCAGAAGATCCTAAACACATTAGAATTAGAGATGAAATGATCTGCAACACTGGTTTCATCTAATCAGAAAAAACATTTAGGCTAATAGATACACGTATGTATTCACTTATTCAAAGTTTAGTACCTGTGTACAGTGCTGAAATTGTCAAAATAATGTTGAAAGCCCCAAACCTTTAACTAACATGAAGATTAAGGCTACACACACTATGTACAGGTTTAACAGAGTGTGAATCTGCTCCTGCCTGAGACATATCAACTCAGCATCGATACTGCTCAGGGCTCATTTTTTGAAAATTCTCTTTGAATAGACATGAGCTGCATCTCACTTCGGTTAAATGGAATACTTGCGTCCCTCACTTGCGTTGTTTCCCTGCGACTAGTCCCTCCCACCAAGGAAGCACGGAGAGACGCAAGGAAACCACGAGAAGCAGGGAAATGAGTTTTAAGAGCAATGGGACGTCCTTTCCTCCGGAGTGTCACGTGAAGCGATGTCCGTTTGTGATGACGCCGCACAGCTGTTCGTCTGACAGCAGCCAGATCAGTGCTTGCGCTGCATCGTCCAATCAGTGAGCGATACACAGTAAGGGGGCGGGGCGAGTGTCTGAGGATTTCACCGGAGGATGGACTGGTAGTTCCTCGATTATCGCTCCTCCGTTATCACTCCTCGATCCTCCGGCACAAATAAGGCCACTGGGACGGTACTCAAGATGGCGCTGACAAATCAACTTCCGGTGATACAGAGCCCGAGGAGCGAGGAAATGAAAAATAACCGAAGTGAGACGCACCAATTGAGAAATGGCCCCTGATCGTTCCCGGAAGTTCGTGGCGGGCCATTTGAATGCATTAATAACAGGAGATAGAACTGCGATTTTGGGTAATTATTGGTCGATAAAGGTTTTGATTTGCAATATTTATACAACATATCGATGTGTATGTAGTTACATCAATATGTTTTTAAGAAAAAAAAGTAAAATTCGCTAATATTTGAGGATTAAGATAAAATAAGAAGTACTTTATTGATACCAATTGGGGAAATGTTTGCATTGCAGCAAGAAAAAGACAAGGCATTGTACATTAGAG